TGGTCGGCTTAAGAAATGAGAACTTTAGTGATATTTTAATTTCAAAATAAAGGACATTTGGCATTTTTCCTTAACTCCAAAAAGAACAAGGGTAGAAAAGCTGGTTAGAAGACAGTCTTTCCAGAGAAAGACGGTTGGTGACCCTACCTGTAACCGACAGCTGGTTATTTTTTTAAATGGTGCAACAGATTCTTTTTTGTGTACCTTTGTTTCTGTGCCGCCAGACGGGAAAGTGGTTAGTGACTCTGACTGCCGTACCAAAGGGTCCGGGTTCGAATTCCGGAGAAGGCATGGATGTAAATTGTTTGTCCTATCATAGTAGGTAACAGTGGCCGCCTATTAGGTGCCTCCATAGTAACATGCGACCACCGCTTCTGAACTTAGTAGTGACTTAGTAAGCCTAAAATAGCCAAAGCCTACCATTAAAAAAAATTGGGTATTGTTTCTGTTAATGTTTGCTACGTTTGTTTCTGTTCCTTTCGCATGAAATTTACTTATTCTAAATTCGGATTTCTTTATGAAGCTATCTATGTCTTTCATTTATTATTTTGCAGTAGTAAAGTTAAGAGAGTAAATACAAGCTGATTAGTGCTCATGCGTTTGTAGATCAAATGCTTATAAATTATTACGTAGCGCTTTATTCTAAAATGTTTTAGCAGTAAATTTCGTGAGTATAAACTTCAAAAACTTCTTCCATTTTTTAAAGTTTAATCCAAGGAAGTACTCGAAGTGTTTCTCATATCTTGTTTAAAAAAAATGGCGTATTTTTTAGTCCTTTGGGCCTAATAACCAAATTTTCTCTTTTAAACTTCTCTGGATTTTAGTTCCTGAATTAATTATATTATCTGAAAATGATACTTCTCAGCGTCTGGAGCCTCTTGGCTATAAAATAATGAGCTATTGTGTTTGATAACACTTTGTGCAAGTCTGAAATTAACCTACTTTTACTAATAACCATTTCAAAGTAGCACTAACTAATAGCCGATGTACGTTTCATGAATAATGACAATCTTAATCGTAAATATTAGCAAAATTTGATTAAAATTTTCAAAAAAAATTATTTTCACATATTTTTAATATGTTTGATAATACTTGCAGTCTGATCATTCAATCTGATCGAACTTTCAGTCTGTTCATTCAGATTAAGCTTTGATAGTATACTAGTAAATTTGCATCAGGCACATGCGATATGCATTCTGAAAGGTGCTATAAACGAGTATATTTGCAGTGCCAACGAGCGGAATACTTAAAGGTGTCATAAAGAAATATACCTGCATGCAAAAATGCAAGTCCATGAAGAAAGTGAAATCAGTTTTTGTTAGTAGTAAGAAATTAACACGCACTTTATTTTTAGCGTAGCTTATATGAAGCTGGTACGCTTTAGAATCGAAGAAATATGGTAATGAGACTCAAGCTATATAACTTTTAATAACCTTATTATGCATTTTGCTGAATATCCTTCCAAATACTTGATAATGTCTCAACAGCTATCGTCGTCCTTGTAGGAGTGGCATGGTCTATTCAAAACTTTTCTTTTGGTTCGAATTCGAGTGGTATGCCAGTTAAAACTTTAAATAAAGATAATACCAACTATCGTCGTTATATAAAACCACGATTCTTTGCTTTCGATGGCACTAGTAATAAAATTAAAAAAGAAACATCTGAAATCTAGTAAAGTTGCTATCGAGATTTATTATTATTATTGGGTATGTAGAGGTACGGAAATAAGAGAGAAATTTTGTAACCAAAGCACACAAGATATGGCAACTGAAAAGTCCTTTATTAATTATTCTAATAATACAAATGTGAATAAATTTACTGTCACCTAAACATATCAAACTAGTATCAAGAAGTACATATAATTTTTAAATGGCTTAACTTTGTAGCATTAAATGGCTCAACTTTGTTGCATTAAAAAGCAGCAGTTTGTTTGTCAACAATTTGGAAATTAACTGAAAGCTATTATGCTTTGTAAATCAACAACTGCTTACTGTTTACATGAGCAGGATTTTCTGAGTAAATTGAAAACCACTCGACCTCTTTCAGGGGTTAAAAGATAAGACATTCAAGATACGGGGTTAAAAGATAAGACATTCAAGATACGGCATTGAAAGATTTTATATTTCCAGTACTCGGCGTCCGTATAAATTTCTTTTCATCAGCGAACACCTCAAATAATATTACTTTCAATGGTTACAACAAAAACTGAAATTTCTTCTGAATGACTACGTCTTCCAATATCCATCGTACACTATTCTAATATCTTTCTAGTCTAAGTGTAGCACTTTAATTCTGTTAGCATTTGTAGAAACTTTTTTTTAAGAAAGATACTTTAAATTTATTTAAAGTAGCTTTCTTAAATTTGTTTATTGGGTAAGTATGTCGAAAAAGAAAAGTCTTACGTTCACATGCATGAACTGCATTATAAAATGAAATCTTAATTTTAAAACTGAGACATTTGATATCTTATTGCAAGAGATCGCTATCCTAAATCAAGTGTAAGATGATTCTGTTCGAGTAGTGCTTCCAGAATCAAACAGATTTTTAATTTAATTTATGTGTATGGAGCACTTAACGACCGCATAGCATCGGGTTTTCGTTAATGCGTACCTAACTTTTGATGTGAAAAACTCATCTATAACACAAGGATAACTTTAATCGAATTATGGTTATCTTTATTGGAAACATCCTCAGTGAGAAAACTAAATAATAAAATTCTGTAAATATTTGGTCTTTGTACACATTTTACATTGTGACATGTGACCTGAAAAGTTTTAACATTGGTCAACATTTCATTTAGAGCTGCTTGAAGTGCATTTTCGATTACACTTTCAAAATTTGGAAGGGTTTGGAGGGCTCTTCAGTAGACCTTATTTGTACGAAATCCACCCAAGATCTTATGTTATGTTTATCTGATCTGAATCGCAAGGATTCAGATCAGATAAACGTGGACTTTATATCAGACATCACTTGTTCTTCAGGGTTGTTATTGATGGATCCATATGCTCTTTCAGTCGATCCAAAGCCGAGACTTGTGTTTCGAATTTTGAATTAAGCTATTTAATGTGAAACAAGATGATCACAACTTGTTCTTTTGTTTTGTTGATAACGTGTACAATTTTTCTGCTTGAGATTCGATGTGTGAATAATATATTTCAATTAAAAATGCTCTCTCAACTTCAGTATAACTCTTTTTTTTTTTTTTTTTTCAATTGAGAGAAAAATCAGACAAGCTCTTGCTGCCTTGTTACCTTTCACTCATTGGAAAATTGGAGCAAAATTTAATGCCATAAGCCGTTCTTGAGTTATTTGCATCCAGATCTGGTTGTGCGTTAGTGAACATCTGGTAAATTTATGCATTTATGTAAAACATGCATGCAGCACATGCTTGTATCTTATTTTACATATTTACTCAAAGAAAGCAGTATTTTTTAGAGACATAATGTATTTATTATTAGCAAATTAGTCGTGCTTTGTTAATTTAAAGTCATAATTATTTATCAGTAAACGTGAAATTGTGGTAATTTATAAAACTTGACAGACGTAAAACATACGTAATAAAAGTCTTCAATTTCATGATTAATTTCTGTATAAATGTGTTGCAATGAATACCAAGGCTGGTGAACTGGGGAGAGGGAAGCTTTTTAAATTTTGAATTAAACTAACAAAGTTTTTTCTTCTTTTTTCCTCAAAAAGTATTTAATCATTTAATCATTTGGTCTTAGAGTGGTTAATTTGAAAATTCTGTGTGGAAACAACAAACTGTTAAGTTTATATTAATTTAAATTTACGTTCTCAAAGAAAAGCCCACTTCTTTTATTACGATCGAAAGAAAAGTTTCAGCTATTAATGTGTAAAAGGCATAACTGAAAAAGGGAGCTATTTAATTAAGTAATTCCCTTTCTCAGTTTCACATTTATCGTATTTGTGCCTCTGTGCACATTCTACATTGCATATGTATGTAACTGAATGTTGAGAATGAGGAGAAACGGACTGTAAATATTGCTTAGATATGTTACAGTAACTTTATTGACCACATCTCAGTTGAATTATACAATTAATAAGCAATACATTGTTAAATATCCATCCTTTCAATGTGAAATGTTGTCCATTGAATGATTTGATTTCTTGGGCATCTATTAATGCCAATACTCCTTCAGTTGAAGGGGATGAAAACTTGGCCGTGAGTGTGATCTTTCTAAAAATGAGAAAGAGCAGCAAAAGATAGTTAAGTTACATTCAGTGCAGTTTGAAGAATATGACTTGTTTATTTCGGAAAAGCATTTTGCTGTGCTAGGAAAAGCAAATCCTTTTCAGAAATATGTTCTTGCATACTGAAATAACGCATGATTCCACGATGTAATAATAATTCTTCTATTAGTATGTTTATCGTTTTATCATGGGAAGAGTTGCATGTTTAAGAAAAACCTCTATTCGAGAAAAGAATGCTGCAATTTACCTCTTGCCAAATTATTTGATTATTTTTTAACTGTGTATTAATGGGAAATACGATTTCAAATTCTCCACTAAAGTAGTTTTCTGAAGGAATTATACTAGTACTATCTTGTCCTTTTTTTATTATATATGTAAAACTGCTGTTTTCTGAAGTAATTATACTAGTACTATCTTGTCCTTTATATATATATATATAGTAAAACTGCTGTTAAGAAAAATTGATTCCAGAAATTACAGATGGAAGATGTAAAATAAAATTAATTGACTCGGGAGAAAGACATTTGGAAACATTTGACTCTGCAATCATATCGTACACAGACTCATAATATGGGCAACGTTTAACTGTACAGAAGTTAGCATTAGCGTGAAAGTTTATTAGCGTACTGATTAAATCTATATTCAGGATGAATTTTAACCCCCTAATGTCGCCCAAAAGTGTTGCGAAATCATTTTCCGTTTGGTTTGTGTGAAGTTATACCAAGTAAAATACGAAAATTACATGCGCCGATATTTTTCTCATAAATGACTCTTCAATTTTTTTTCAGGAGGAGACGATGTTCAACAACTTTGTGAAGCCGGTGAAGAAGAATTCCTGGAAATAATGGCTTTAGTAGGAATGGCTAGTAAGCCACTGCACGTCCGAAGGCTTCAGAAAGCCCTCCAAGAGTGGGTTAGCAACCCAAGTAAGTACTTTCAAAGTCTTTCATTGGCATGTTCTTGAAATATATCAGTTGCCTATATTAATCCTTCTGCTTTTAATTCTTCTCCCTGAACAGCACAGATACTTCTTTCTATGAATTATCTCTATTTACCTATAGCTTGCCTTAGGTGTCTAGTTATTCTGCAATAATATGAAGGGAGGTAGTAATACAATGCTTTTCGTATTGTATTGCCTTCTCCTTTTAATCTGTTTGTTGTATTTTTGCAGTCTAATTTTATTTAACGCACTTTCTCACTTGGTTCATAGTGGCGCACTCTCTCTTTCTGTCTTTTGTTCATAAGCGAATTTTATATTGTTCGCATGAAAATAATACATACGCATGAAATAATCCATTAGTTTAAATTCAAAAATCCGGATTTGGAAATGCAGTTCGTTATAAAGCAAGATTTCTTAAAATTCTTATCTATTAGCGTATACAGTTTTAAACACATTTGACGTTATAGTAGAACAGCTAAGTTTTAACACATTAGACAAGATCATTAAACTGCTAAGATGTGACACCAGCTGAAGGAAGTAGCTAAGTCTCTTAAAATGATCTCATCTTAATCTGACATGAATTATTTAAAAACTAAAAAACCCTAAAAAGAGCTCGCATTTCTCAGGGCTTTCTTGTTTTTAATATGTAAACCTTTAAGCTCTTGAGTGTCTATGTACGATATATTTTTCTCCTTGCCTTATTGTAAAGGCCTAATTGGCATGCAAGTATATTCTGTTTCGCTTGTTGATTTTCTGCAATTTATTTAGCATACTTTATGTAATTTTTTAATAAGAATAAGACTCCCGGCTGTTTGCTTCATTTCCTGAAAGAGATCATCGTCAAGTATTCGTTATCTTTTGTTTGGTCGTCATTTAATACCTTACGCCATACTTCATCATTTTTATTTTGGTTTCGAGGACGTTTGTACACTGTACTGAATTTCATTTCATCGTGGAAGATTGAAATTCGACACTACTGATCAAAACTATTTAGAAAATTGCGATTTGTAATGCTATCAATTTCAGTTGCATCTCATGAATCGTTTCATGAAATTCAGCACTAATAGTCAAAACCATTTACAAAACTGAGGTGTGTAATACTGTCGATTTCAATTACATTTCATGATATCGCTGTCAAATAATTCATCAAAAATATTAACGAAAACATCATAATCTCGAGGATGTTACTGACACTGTGAAAAAAATTATTTTGCGTTCTGCAAGATGAGATCCCCCTTATGAGTAAAAAACCGTGTTTATCTTGAAAAGTCATCTGTTAAGCCTTCTCCGTTTAGTATGAAAAATCACTCTTCACTCGCTGTTTATTGATAGTATCTATCACAAAATATATTCTCATTCTATTTAAATACCTTTTACTAATACTAAAAAATACCAAATTTTCTCAAGTTGCTCTGAAAAGATTCTTTAATTTCATTTAATCGTGGAAACAGGGTCATAAGTCCAGGCGATCGTCTACAACTTTACTCGGCATCTAAATTAGTTTATCCTCGGATAATGATGAAGAAACATATCTGAAGCTATGTTTTTCTTTTTATTGGAAAGAGCAAACTATCTCCGCGTACCGGTCTAAATGATATTTTTAAAGAAATTTAATTATGGAACTGCAAAAGTTCTCACTTACTTTTATTAGCTGAGGGGAAAGACTTTATTTTTTCTCTTCGGAAACTACCAAACTGTAGTCCTGCGGTCAAAAGTGAGACGGAGCTTAGGCAAATAACCTTCGTATACTTTGCCAAAATTTAAATAACGCAATCCCACCTTCGGGTGTTTAGTTTTATTTTGTTTTTCTGAGGTTTTCTTCGCCTTGGCTCAAAAAATAATTTATCAGAAATTCTTCATGTAAACGTTTTCAAGTAATGATAATTACGTTGCTTCGTCACCGTAAACACAAATTTTACAAAATAGCATATGCAGAACGTTTATCTGTGATAAAGAACATTAAAGTTGATTTTAGAAATTAAGTGAAAAAGAAAGAAAATATCGACATGTTTTCCATACTTTATAATCTTATGCAAATAAATTTTCTATTATGAAGCCAGCTGAAAATAAACAAAGGAAATGTAAACTGCTGTATTGTTGCTTGTTCTTCTAATTTCCCTGCTTTTGTGTGTGTGCGTCTTTTTTTTTTTTTTTTTTTTTTTTTTTTTTAAGAGAGGAGAGAACTTTAGAAGTATATATGGAAGAGAAAAGGGGGGCTAAACTTTTTCCATCATCCTAAAATAGATAGGAATTTAATAGTCGACCAACTATTATTTGTCACTGTAAATACTAATAATCGTGCGTTTTTTTAATATCAAATTATTATCACGTTCTGCAAACAAATTTTTTAAAAATGTGTATTTCTCTTATTGATATCCAATGGCTGTAATGCTGTTTGTTCCGCTTAAACTAAATTTTTCTTCTTTTTACTTTTTTCTCTTCCCCTTTTTTGGCATTCTTTATTTGTTTGAAAAATCCCGCTTCAAAATAAACAGTCGCTACGATCATTTCCAATTTGTCTCCTCCTCCCCAAATTGAATCAAATGTTCCCATTCTAAGTGTGAAGAAACCAATATCATATCGTTAAGTTTTTTATTTTGGGGTGAAAGAAATGGCTATCTTTGTTTTGTTTTGTTTATGGAATATTTAGGTTTTTGGATCTGTCATGTGTTTTAACAGAAGTTTTAGCTAAATTTGTATAATTTTAGTCTCTATCTTCATAAATTTACATTCATTAAGATGATATTTACATTATTAAAGAAAGTAAAAAAGAAAATTTCTTAAATTATAAACTAATATGGATTAAGTGACAAAGTATCTCACGACGGGATAAAGCTGATCATGCCACTCAAGGGGTTAAAAATTGGTACTGAAAATACTTGGTCCGAAATGTGATGAAGTAAAATAAATATATGATATAGTAAAATTCAACCCGAAAAGAATTATAGGAGAAAAATCTGAGAGTATTTTTAAAAAGACCTTCGCAGTATATGTTAAAATTTGTTTTCAAATTATTCTTACCTGTACAGAATTCTAATGATCAAAAACACTTTTTAGATGATTAGAGTTCTATAAAGGTCATTTCTCAGATGCACAAAAATTGCATTCTAATTTAATTTTTTTTTTTATATTTTTTTAAACTTTAATATAAATATTTTTTTAATTGTTGAAAGTTAGGGACTACCCTTTCCCTATTCTTTCAATTGAGCTTGATCAGACTGAAACTTGAAAATGTTATTAGATTAAAAAGGGAAGAGAGAACTTTAGAAGCATATGTGGAAGAGAAAAGGGGGCTAAACTTTTTTTAACGTATTTTTGCAATGAAAATTGGTTTTTTAGGTTATTTTTTTATATATTTTATTTTTTATCTATGTATTATTATTTTTGTTTTTTGTTTAATGCTTGTAGAGTGAGTCATGCTACAGTTAGATGCAAATACTACTGCCGCTTCTGGAGGTGTTAAAATTCTTACTCTTACTGTTATTTATTCTGAGTTAAAATCCTTATTTAACGGAGAAAAAAAAATTTTTTTTTTCATTTTTTTTAGTCGTTTTTTGGTAATAAATACTTGTAAATTTCCAAGGTATTTAAGTTGGAACATTTTGAAATGTACACCTACTTACCAGAGTGTTCACCTAATCTGGCAACTAAAATGAAACAACTATAGTAAATTTTGTGGCATTCCGCTTTACCTAATTTCAGTTCTCCCTTCCCCAATTTCTTCTCGACTATCTTTATTCTACAAAAATATGTTTAGTAATTTAAATTTTTATGTAGTTTCGTAGTCTAATATTTTAATTGTTTCAAAATCTTTTTACTAAAATAGTTAGCGAAATTAAATTATATTTATTGTTCAGAAAATTATCCAAAGTAATTTTTGTTAGATTAATAAGCATCTGAGGAATGTCAACCATAGCATGCTCTTTATATTAGAATGCATTTACTAAAGTTTATCATAAAATGTTGCATGTTTGAAACGAGGTAAGAAGTGTTGAAGTTTTCTGAAGCAGAAAACGAAACCGAAAGTCGATTTCCAAAACAAGGAGGGCGTTCAAACATACACGTGAGAAATGTCACGTGTCGAATGTTTGTAAGCAGAGAACCCTCATCGCTATAGCGGCGATGAGGGAGGAGCTGCGAGCCGTCACTCTTGCTGCCATCCATGTGGTAGGCGTATGCTATTGGGCCTTGGAGAGTAGGAGGAGCATCGTGGCCTTCACGTACTGAAGATGATAGTGGGTCTCTTCTGTAATCAACTGTTCACTGGGTGCCAAATGGAGGGGTAGGAGATCAACCCCCTATCGAAGGTGCTCTTTGTGTGGGATTGTATTCCAAAGTTGTCAAAGTTCTCTTTAAATGGAGTATTAGGGAAAATGTTTGTCAACAAATATATTGCGTAATTTTATCACGAAACACGCCAATACCTTCGCAAAGCTTTTGCGAGAGATTTTCGAGCGTGGTTTTTAAACATTTTTTGGATTATTTCTTTTGAATGGCATATTTTGGAATCTTATTCCTATTAATAAGAGAGAAAGACGCAGTTTTGCTCTTTTGTAATACATCTTTTTTATTATATCTTTGTATTTTTATATTTTTTATAATATATCTTTAGCACGGGAAAGTGTAAGAAATAATAGCTTTTTAAAAGCAAATAATGAAACCAAAAAAAAAAAAAAAAAAAAAAAAAGAAAGAAGAAAGAGTAAAAAGGCTTTTTGAACGAAGCATTCCGAATAAATACTTTTCTGCTTGCAGAGAGTTGTTTTTGTATAATATTCCTTAGCACGTGTAAGTGAGATATACTTTCCATTTGAAATTTTTTGTTACTTGCTTGAAATCAGTATTTTATCAGTAAAAGAGAGCCAGTATTTTAAAATTATCTTGTGTTTGAAAGATTTACAACAATCTCTACATGGGTTTCCGGGTATTTCTTTTAAGGCTTGAAATTCATGCAGCTGCTGAAGTTGATAATTTTAAACTAATTAAAATTCCTTTCAAACTTTGCGCTCAAAAGATTCATCTTTGTGAGTTAATAATTTTGTAAATATACATCAACCGTAGCGAACGCAATGAGAGAATTTTTACTTTCACTTGCATATCACAACTTACAAAAATTATGTTCATAATTAATTTTCCCCTCGCTCTGCGTATTTGGGCTTCATACGAAGTTATTCGTGTGTGCCGAACTGTAATTTTTCTTCACTTCCAACTATCTGCATCTTGTATAACACAGACACAGATCACCAAAACTTATAGTACAAAGTCATCGTTTTTCTTCTAAAACTTGCTTTATTTTCATGTCTTTCATACCATCTGCTTCAAAATCCATAATGCAATCATCAATATTTTCCTTGGGAATCAAACTGTGCATTCAGTTTTGTACAAAATGTATTTTCGGAATTCTAATGAATTCGTAAGGTCTGTTTATCCATGCAGCATATATATACATATGCTCTAAAAGTTAGTTATGTATACACATATGTGTACAGGTATATACATGCAGTATCCGCACGAAAATGTTATAACCTTAACGTTTATTTTATAAAATAAAAAACGATGTGAGGTAGGAAAAAGCTAAGCAGTAATTGCATTTAAGAAACGTTATACTTAGGTATATATTTTAAAATTATGTGTATGTATGCACGCATATATATACATACACAAAAGAAAAGAGAGAAATAGGCTATGCTGTAAGTAAGAAAATATTTTCCGTGCATAAGTTATTGCTTGTTGTAAAGCCCTGACTAAGTAAAATTTAGAAACATCTTCTTTAGTGCTATTTCAGAAGTGTCAGGGAAAATAGTAATTGCTCTGGGCTAAAATTATTTTATTTTAATAGCTCATTATATTATTTATTTGCTTTCTTATTTCTGTTGGTTAGTTTCTTTCTCTAAATATATTTATATACTACTGTATATGTATTTTACATTGTAGCTGTCATTCTAATCTTGCATGTTTTGTAGGTTGTTGTATATTATATGTACTTTGTTCCAGATTAATATTTCAGGTTCTGATTTTGTCAACTCTTAATTTTTTATTTATAATAACGAATATACGGAAGACTTTTCTGAGTAAAATTTTCGTAATGATAAAATAGATATCTGAGTGAGTTGAGTGGTAAGAAAATACATTTATGTATTTATATAAACTCAGTTTTTTAAAATTTTTCGTGATTTGTTATGCATCTATTAAATATGTAAAGTATATTTCCTCTGAAGCGCCAAGTATTGATTTTGTACCTGTAGCGGAAACTGTATTATTATTATTTAGTAGCAGTTTATTATTATTTTATTTGAATATAATGTTGTTTATTCTTTGATTGAAAGCTGATGTGCTTTGTTTCTATTGTTTCAGTGGTGCTTCTTAATAAGAGGAATAATGATTAAAACGTGTCCGCTTCCTGTCCGTTATAAAACTTGCCTTGTGTTGCTTTTGGTCGCTGTATAAAAAAGCACCATATTTTAATTTTATTTTGCGCAAAATTTGTGGCTTTTACGACTAGCCAGTATACTTTGAAATGAGATAGTCTTGTTTTTCTTGATGGAGTACTTCTATCCCCCCCTTTGAACTAGTGTATACTTTTCGTTTTTTTTAAATTAAATTTCAAGAAAAAGTTTTTTTTTTTCTTTCTTTTTTGTATAGTATTCAAATGCAGTTTCTCCTTTTTTTTGCAGCAATGTTTCAAACCCCACTTGTTCCAGCTCTGCCTCCCAGTCACCCAAACCATCATATGGGTAGCATGGGGGGTGGGGTATCTCGGAGCGGCCTCCAAGGCAACATGAGCCAAGCTCAGCCTCCTATGCCCATGAGGCCGAGCCCTCCTATTCCGCCGATGCTCACCAACAATGCTCACTCGTCCCCTTCCCCTGGGCATGGGGCCCAGAGCGCCAGCGGAGGCGGCAAAGATGTGACTTCTCCGTCGCAGATGCAGCATCTTCATCATCAGCAGCAACAACAGCAGCAGCACCAACAGCATCAACAACACCAGCAGCATCTTCATCAACAACATCAGCAGCAGCAACATCATCAGTCCCATGCTCCACCACAGTCTTCGCAGCAGTCCTCCCAGCAGCTGCAGCAGCAACAGCAGCAGCAGCAGCAACAACAGCAACAACAGCAGCCACCTCCGCCCACCCATAGTCAGTTGCAACAGATGTATTCTCAGTCCTTGCCACCCGTAAGTAGATGATTTTTATTATTATTATTTATTGGCCAAAATATAACGTCTCCTTTAAATACCATCTCTGTCCTCCTTATTCTAAAACACAGCAGACTGAAATGCAACGAGACACTTAATTCATCTGAAATCAAAGTGCATGCGTGTTACGCGATATTAAAGCTGTCTTCGTTTCACTTACGAATTTTAATCCACACTAATTTTAATTATAAATCTCGGATATCTTTCTTAATAGTCGGCCAATTCCACATGTTTTTTGCTTGACCGTAATAAGATTTTTCAGGAAAATTTCTAAGAATACCTAATATAATTTTCGCAGTGAAATTTTCTTAGTCGCTATATGAAGGAACGTTAACAGATATAGCCGATCAGGGGAGGGGGGGGGCTATCAAGAATTTGAGAACGGAAATTTCCCGGGGCGCTGGAACCCGTGACGGTGCTGATATCGATGGTTTAAAACAGATGAAAATTATTCATAACTCTAGAATTCATGAAGCAAAAAACGATAAACTCATAGGAAAAAAATATTTAATGATACTCTAAAAAAAATCGAAAGATAAACGAATAGTAATCGTTTTAAACTCAGCGTCTTACCCTTTAATCATTAATTCGTTGCAAATCGATAATTGTTGGATCTAATTCTTTACCCTATTGCGCAAACACTAGGAATTTTCACATCCCTTCACCCGGATGATTCCATAAAATATTATAAAGATGCCGGCACCGTTATGCAATTAGACAGAAGTTATCCAAGGTTAAGGCCTTCACGTGAGTGCTCAGGCAGCCTTGATTACGTTTTTCAATGATACTGAACTTCATAAGAGTGTCGGCACACTTGTGCCTTTATGCCGGGATCTTTTCCAGCGATTGCCCCCTTCCGAATAGGTCTGTGCAAGTCCTCGGATATTTACCAAGATTAATACCTTCATACGGGCGTACCGGCAGCTTGACTAGGGATGCGTTCCTCATGATATTGAGCTGCGTATTGCTGTCACTCTCATTACAACTGTCGGCATCCTGTGCTTGTATGCAATGGCATCCTTGCGTCCTTGGCGAAATATGAGCAACTGGAAAAGATGCCGGCACTTTTCCAAGTTACCCGCGTTGATTAGACCAACCCCATCCGCCCCTTAACTTCTGCTCAGATTTGCGCATCGATAAATAACTTATTTTCAGTACACATGGTCAGAAAAATTCATACATTAATACTTTTGGTAGAGTAACAGTCTATGAAAAATAAAGCTCCATGAGTCCTGAAAATAGTTGCTGAAATATACGAATTTGATTAAAACAGCTTTAGACGACAATTAAAATAATTTTAATTGACACTAATAATTTTAGTCGATTCTGGAGATTATTTAGCATTAAATATTCTAGTCTACACGAGTTAATATTAGAATTGAAGTTTGCAGTAGGAATTTCGAAACCTCATCTGTATTCTCGATGCTTGAAGTAAATTGAAGAAGAATTATAATACACATAATTTGTGTGTATGCTACGGCAAAGTATGAAACTCTAGCATTCTATAGAATATCTAGTAGTTAATATAATGCCTGTCATTTTTAGGCAAAGTATGAAACATGAGAATTATTATATACTTTACCTATATATTCTGTAGAATGACAAATGCTCTTTAGGCAAAGTATGAAACATGAGAATTTTTATATACTTTATGTACGCATTCTGTAGAATGACAAATGCTTCTTTAGGCAAAGTATGAAGAAAAGATCATGATAAGGCTATTATTTCAAAGTTTTTCATTCCTCAAAAATACAAATGTTATTTTGAAAAAATAATGGAAGAATGCCGTTAAAAAATTTTATTGAAAGTACATAAATAAAATAAAATTTTAAAAAAAAAAAAAAAAAAAAAAAAAAAACGAAAACGAAACTTGTACGAAACAAAACTGATGCTCTTCTTATTAATGAAAACAAAATTATCATGCAAAAAAATAAGAAGTTAAAATTAACCTATTTATTGCAACGTGGTAGGCTTGTATGATATTTTGAAGTCACTTCATTACTTTTTTCACACAAAGACATTTCATATTCGGCACTTTGTTTCACAGATACACTTGACAAACCCTTGGCCGCTTGCATTGGACTAAACAATTGCAACTGACGATAGAGGAATTTCGTGATCAGAAATACCTTCAATTCTAAGCAGATTCTTAGAACATAAAATGAACTATCGTCTCGTATACAGTAGTTTAAAATTTCATTAGATGTTCATTAGAAGTCAGTTAAAGCTATCCGCTATCACACTCATTACACCTGCCGATATTTACACGAATTACTTTATAATTTCCCTAAGACGGTTTGTCATTTGGCGCAATGTATGCAAAATTTAATCCTTTCATGCACAGTCGGCCAGTTTTCGGCATTCTATAAAATGCCTAGGTATACTATAGAATGCCGCATTTCATACTTTGCCGGTAACATATATAATCTCAGTAACAACACATGCAAAGAATGTCATGAATAAAATTTTTGTTAATTAATCGTAACAGAATAGAGTCATTTGAGAGTACTTCCATTCCTTAATAAACACCAGAATATTTATATCATTATAAAATCGATTAGATGATCTTAAAACAGATTATGATTTAAAATTTTTAGTAAATTGTATTATTATTATTACTTGTTACTGTTCATTATTTTTATTGTTATTTCTTACTATACATTTTATGATGCATTTGTAAGCTGCTGAAATTATATGATGAGTGATATTCAGTTTTTAATATGTAGTATAATCTCCTGCAATGTTAATTCTTCTTTAAAGAAATGTGTTTTTAAATACTGACCTTTCTGTCAAGTGCAGGTTAAGTTAAGTAGGAAAATTACTTTCATTCAGTACTTTCATTCTATTTGAGTAAAATTTCGAATCGCGATACTAATTAAGATTATTAATGAGTGACAAATTTATTTCTTGTTAGGAATTTGCCTCCATTCTAGTTAATTTACTTGAATTTTGATAACTTTACGATTTTATGCGATGTATCAGCATGTGAGCAAAAGATCAAATATAAATTTGAGTAGTAAAATTAAAAATAAATTTATAGAGTTTGACCTCTTTTGGTAGCAAAAACTAGTATCCTGCCCTAACGTGTTAAGCGAATTAGCGCTGCGCCTGAAGTTAACGAGAGAGTCTTAAAAAGGTTTTAAGCAACCTTTTAATTAAAACGGAACTTGAACATAAACGTACGTGTCGTGCTTAACGAAACACTACTAGTGGCGATGTAACTTAGTAACAGTTTAATTCAAGAATTAAACTAAGCCTAGTAATCAATGACTACACAATTGATTTGAAATATTAAGTTAGCTGAGAACTTTTCACCGGCGTACCAATTAAATGTAGGCAGCAATAACGCAAAGCCGAAGAATTACAATCTTATCAGAGCTGGCGAAACCTAGTAATGTGGCCTTGAAAGGCAGAAACGCGCTCTGTCTTACAAACCGAAACCCTCGAATTAAATACTCTCTAACTCATTTGCATTTCCGGTGAAGAAACAGAAAATAGAAGTTCCAGTAAAGATCTAAATCCTAACTCGTTAACTGGTTACTTAAAAAATAATAATAACCCTACAGAGTAACACATTTAATCGAGTTGCATTTCTTGATTTAGCGGTTTTCATGTTCTTTCTCTATGACCGTTGTACTCTTTTTCAAGTTTTTTCATAATTTCATTAGTAATTCTACTGATGACTCCGCTTAAATTAGCGTATAAATGTTTAGATCATTTTGCGTATTTTTAATTTTATTTTTTTTAAATTCATTCTTAAAGGAAAAAGAAATGAAATTCAGACATAATAAATAATCAACCCTTTATGCCCCAAACTATTTTCTTATGTGGGGGGGGGGGAGTTTCTAACTTTTTTTATTATATTTCTTTGCGCTTGAGAAACATTTGATATTGAACTTACAAAAATGCTTTAAGTTTTTTTAATTTAAAATCGTTGCTTAAAAACCCCGTTGGGACATAACTGACAGATGTTTTTGATGGGACTTAAAAGTCAAGCAGGAAAGTAAAGGGTTAAATTAAAGGGGAAATTTGTTGAGCAGTAAAATGCTATTGCTGGCGTTTAAGTTTATGATTTTTGGTACCATTAAAAAACTGAATTCTTCAAGGAGAGATAAAGTTAAAAATTAGCTGGGTTCGAATCAACGCTGCATAATGAGACATTAATTTAGATTTAAAATTGTAAAAGGATAATACTGTGGAAGGACAGAATCTTATTTTTCCAAAAACATATTAACCATATGTTTGAAAACAGTTGTCAGAGATAGAAAATGATGTTTCCTTTAGTTTCCAATCGCATTTTTACGAACTTCTTTATGCTTTGTTTTTACGTGTGAATTACAAATTTCAGAATTTTCTTATATTTAACTTAACATTCAATAATGCTTTAAAAAAAGTGATCAAACACATTAAAAAAAGTACAAAAGGTGATCAAAGGTAATAACATCGCTTTTTACCAATCTAATTTCAAATATGTAGGACTGATACTCTTAACAATAAGATGGAACTGTGATTTATATTTCTAAATATGTGATATTATAATCACTGGTATTTGTGCCACCGTACCACCAATTTCTTTGGGGAAATATTTTTTGATTTTATTTTTTGTTACTAACATTTTCTTGCAATGCTAATGAAGTTTGTTTTGCTTTAAAGTGACTCTTCTTATTACTGTGACACGTTGACCTATTTGGTTAGTCTGAATGAAAAATTCTGATATTTTCTCTGCTGTTGACCACACCTTGCTGTTTCCACTTCCAAAATTTAGTGATGATTTAAGATACAATCGCTAGACATGAAGTAATATGCTAAGAGAATCTTTTAAAATAATTTCTCTAGAATTGACTAAGTGACCCTCTTTAACTGGATGGATTATGGCACTTGTTAACTTTTTTTTTAGTAGAAGTACAACCTGACGCGAGGAAACACAATTTATACGATGTAAATCTGGATCATTTCAATATGCTTTTGATATTTTGAGT